CAAACTCGCAGCGATATCCAGGACACCACGAGAAGAGAATGTCATTCCATGCACATCTTGTTGAATTCACAGAGGAAGCATGGACAATGAAAGGCAGCGACAAATTAAAACATTATTCATCCTTTATTTCTTAGGTGGATACATCAAAGGAACCTTCGTATTTGTGTTGGTCGTGGCTGATGGGAAGAGAAATTTACCCTCGGGTGCCTCTCATTTCAGAGGCAAAATATCCATCAAAGCCAAATCTTTATTGGCTAGCTTCCTCTTTGCTTTCTTTTCAGTTGCTAACCTCATTGCTTTTCGTGTGTTTTTTTTTGTTTTTGGCTTTTAAGTAAATTAATTTAGCTGAAGGAATCTCATTCCAGTAGCAATTTTGGGATGGCTGACATGGTTGGAGGCTCATAAATATGCAGCACCATTGAGAGTGTCCTGACATACGTCATCCTTGTGTGGAATGGGAGCAGCTCTGAAGCGGACAAAAAAACTCTACAGAGAATCTTTAAAACTGCCCAGAATATCATCAGGCTCCAGCTACCAACCCTGGACAACATCTTCGCCTCTCGCTGTTTGAGGAAGTTGCACAACATGCTCAAGAAACTCTTCCCATCCTGCTCACAATCTTTGTGAACTGTTCCCTTCTGGCAGAAGATACAGAACAATTAAAACTCAGACCTCACGTTTCCTGAGCCGTTTTTATCCCAGAGCTATAATTGCACTTAACAATGACCTTAAGGACCACCATCATCAGTGAGCTGTTGGACAGTATTACTTGGTCTGTTTCGTGCCAGATTCAACTGCAATCACCGCAGTTGTTAAATGATGAACCTAAAGGTTAAGCGAATCTGGTTTCCCCATTGACTTCGCTGGTCAGATGGTTGCAAAAGGGGACGTGACCCCGGGATACTACCAACGTCATAAGTAGGAGTCGGTTTCCTAGCATCCAAATTTTATTCACGTGACCATGGTCGCACGTGCGAAAAACGGTTGCAAGTCACCTTTTTCAGGGCCATTGTAACTTTGAACAGTCACTAAAATAGTAATAAGTTGAGGACCACACACACACACACACGCACACAATCTATTTGCAGTGGGGCCCAAGTAAGCTGAAAGTTTGGACACATCTGGTCTAAGTAATATCTACAGGTGATTAAGTTCCCCTGATGAGTCTTGGCAAAAGGAGATCCAAATTTTCTGCATAGCAAAATGGCTTTTAAAATATGGGTATGGTTGGGTGCAGTTGGGAAGAGGAGCAGTCAGGGACACCTGCCAAGGCAGGTTGCATCCCACCGACCTTTGTGTTGTTATCTGATGGATGCCACAGTATACGACTCCAATGTTTTTGTTTCTCAGCTGCTGTTATCTGTGGCCACTGTAGCATTTTTATTCTGGCACACAGCTCTTTTGTCTTCTCAACAGCTTGTCACACTTGCTGCCATGGATATATATCCGCTTGGGTTCAAGCTTGGCCAGCCATTTGATTTAGTTTTATTGCTCTTTTGACAGCACAAACACAGACACGCACAGAGACAAAGAGACAGAGAGAGCAGATACCTTGTTATGGTTATGTTGCGGCTTAGCGTGGTTTACTTCGTGTGACTTCTTCCCACTCTCTCTTTCGTTTCTACCCATGACCTAAAGTAGGAAGGGTGTGTGTTTCTGGGATCACAACCAGAGGTGGGTATTCAGCCGGTTCTGACCAGTTCTGGAGAACCGGTAGTGGAAATTTTGAGTAGTTTGGAGAACTGGCAAATCCCCTCTCTGACTGGAGATTTTAGTCTCCTTCCCCTGCCACGCCCACCGAACCCGTAGTAAAAAAAATTGAATCCCACCACTGATCACAACTGTTGTTGTAAGCTGCTTGGAGTCTGTATAATTGTTTATTTTGTCATGTTTACATGGTGTATATTGAGAACTCCGCATTGGTGACAGGAAGGGCAACCGGCCAGGAAACGCTCTCAGCTCCATTCAATTGCCCAGACTCCACCCAAGGGATTATGGGGTCATTAAAAGATGACGATAGAGTGTATATTGGAGGCCATGACCCTTTGAGAGCTGTAGGCAACGAAATTTCAAATTTTAATGTTTGCTGATCAGTGTACATTTAAAGTGACAATAGAGTTAATCTAAGTCGCTCGAGCCATTTTTATGACAACGAATCTTATCTAATCAGTAAAACCCCAGATCAAAGTTTCCTTTTTCCCCACACCTCAAGCACAAAATCCAGAAGCGGTTTGGCTAGTTTTAAGCTATTATGTAAAAGTAAAAAAAAAAAAAGTTGAGATTTGAGGTTAAGGCCTTATTCTGCTTTACCAAAGGGAGTTGGAAGTCAGTGCCTTTTCCCCCCTCTTCTCTTTCCTTCCCTATTTTTCCTATTGTTTGCTTTTGTGTTTCCTTTGTATGCTACATGGTGGGTAGTTCCAGGACCTCGGACAGCTCCAAAAATCCACGTAAGTCCTTGGCGTACAAGTTCATTTAGTGACGGTTCAAAGTTACAACCTTCTCGTATTGTGGATTTAATTTTGCCTGGTGGGTTTAATTTTGACTGGGAGACAGACTTTCAAGTGCCCGGTTGACTCAACTGGCCACTGGCTTGGTGGACTAACATTGGTCTGCTTGTGGCTGGACTTAATTGGGACAGTTCTGGATTTTTGGTGAAGGGAGTTGTGGGGGAATATTAATCAACTCACTAAGCCACAGTTGCGTGTGAGCGGGACAGCACAATGATATATTGACTAATCATGGCAGTGACAAAAATGTCTTCTGCTTTTGCATCTATCCATGTATCTATCTCTCCATCTTTTCCTATTATATCTTTCATTCCATCCATCCATCCTTCTCTCATCTCTCATTTCCATCTTCTTTTTTTCATCTCTAGTTCCATCTATGCAACCACCCGTCCTCTTTCCTCTCTCTCCCTCCATCCGTTTTTTTTTAATCTCTCGTTTTTATGTCTAGAGAGATTCTCTAGTCATTCAGATCATGGTTGTCCCCAAAAGTGCTTTTTTTTTTTTCCAGGAGGCAAATGGACATCCTTGTTTCTTTGAAGACATTTCCCATCTTATCCAAGAACAGAGCTGAAGAAGCTTCTTGGATGAGATGGAAATGTCTTCAAAGAAAAAACCAAGGAAGTCCAGTTGCCCCCCGAAAAATGCGCTTTGGACACTCTCATCTTTATCTATTCATCTCTTTCTCTTTCATATCTCCATCTACCCATTCCTATCTTTCCTCTCTCTTATCTCCATCCATCAATCTATCCATCACATCCACAAGAAGTCCTGAACTTGTGACGTATTATTTTCTCCAAGGGTGACTTTTTCATAGGTGAGATGTTACAAGATCAGTTGGGTCCAGATCTTGGTTTTCTTTTTAAAGGGAAAATTAGTTACCTTTGAAACAGCTACTAAAGCTAATTTATGCTGTTTTGTTTGGTCATTCAAACTTCAGCTTTGCTGCTTCTCATGCCAAACCCTCCTTAGACCTTTTCCCTTGTTCTCCATGGTTTTCACCCAGAACATCAGAGAATCTTACATTACAGCAAAACAAAATTCCTTAGACAGCTGCATTTAAAGTCAGGTGTACAAATTCTGTTTTAATGCACGCACACCCAGACACACAAAAAAAAAAACAAAAAAAAACCCAGAAGATGGTTAACATTTAATGGTCATGTCGTGAATTACGGAGTTTTCCATTCCGGGAAAGCTTGGGCCATTTGTGACTCTCCTGAAATCTGAATTTCAGCCCCATCGTGGAAATTCCCAGTGTACTTTTGAAGGATCTCATTTTGACCCAACTCAACAAAAACAAAAGCAAAAAAGCCTAAATTGGTATAATAGCAGAAGGAGCAAGGAAAAAAATAGAGTTTGTTTTTCCTTCTTGTAAAGACACATCCCACCCACCCACCCAGTTTTTCTCTTCCTGTATTTCTTTCCAGCAAATATTTTCATTTATTTTGGTTCCCAGAAGAGAAAGCCACAATAGAGGAAGACCCAGTGATCATTTTATCCAAAGGAAGGAAAAGGGGGGGGGGACACCCCAAAATGGCTAACGTTCTATGAAAAAAAAAAAAAAATCAAAACGTTCACACCCAAACGAGGTTTTTTCCCTCCCACATTTTTCTTCTTGGCACACGGAAACAAATCTCAAAAGGTTCAAAACAAAATGGAACAAGGCACATTATTACAGCTCAATAAAGAAAAGGCAGGTTTTTTTTCCCCCTCCGATTTTGGTCACGTTTTCATCCAAGTCCTGGCAGTCGCAAACAAGATTGGATCGTTGTTGTTTTTCTAAAAAAAAAATTCCCCATGATACGACAAGCTTCGTGCAAGCTGTTGGAAGTGAGAAATGACACAACAGGTTAGGCCATGTAACGCCTCGAGAAGAGGAGGAGGAAGAGCTACAGCCAAGGAGACAAACAAGCAAAAAATAGGATACAGGAACATGATTCCGTTTAAATCTTGAACCGCAAAACTTGAGAACACGTGGGCCTTAACTGACATGCCAAAAATGAGTTCTTTCTTCGAAGACATCCTTCAGAAGACACCCCAAAGTTCAGGCATCACCCTTTTAATTTCCTAGAGCTAACTGTAGGGATGGACAGCATGACAAAATGACAGATAGAGGGATAAACCTCCTGACTAGAGAAGGAAGCTGGAAGGGACAGGTTGATATCCACAGGAGCTCGTTCCGCTCTGAAAAAAGGAGAAACAAAATAAATAAGGGTTTGTCCAGCAGCAGCAAACAAACCCAGGATAGATTCTAGGGATTTGAAGAGTTTCTGAAAAGAGTTTTAAAAAAAGCTACAGACAGGGAAGGGATTTCAAGGGAGACAGGTAGATTTATACAGCCTGGATAAAACCAACGTTAACATACTTTCTGGTTAACAACTTAACACTTGTTAAAGTCAACATGCTAACCAGGTTATGACATCGTAGGAAGCCCGGGGGTGGGTGGGGGTGGATTTTGGTGTAACAAACCATGATGCTGGTTAACAAGCACAGCCAGTTCCCTTCACTCTTCAAGCAAGCAAATAAAGCAGGACAGACTTCTGTGCCAAGCTCAAGCGTTGTAGCCAAAGAAGCCAGCTCAAACTGGGATCCCAGTAACACGGGACAGGGCTGGGAAGAGATCTAGATTCAAAAATGGGGGCGGGGGAAAAGGGATAGAGAGGAACCCACATCCCAGCAGTTCTGGAGCTCACCCAGAGATCCCAAAAAAGAGGCATTTAAGGGATTGCCAATGTGTGCAAAACCCCCCACTTGCCCTCAAAATTCTGATCTCTTCACTGCCTGGTTGTTTGCAACATACGGTGCAAACCTAATCGATATGCAACCTACAGCGGTCTGCTAAGCCAGGATTCCTGGCTTCACACAGCTTCTAAAGATGGCTCTGAAAGAGAGATAAAAGCTTTGCTCTTCCCTTCTCTCTCTTTCTCACTCTCTCCTCGGCCGATCAAAGCCTTGTCTATATGGTGGAAGATGCTTGGAAAAACAAGGCCACGTTGGAAGAGACAAAAATACCACAACGAGGCAGAATCAGGAAGAGTTTTAATTACCAAAATGGTCTTGAGGAGCCAGGGAGAAAGCAAAAAAAAAATAATAATAATAATGATACAAACCAGAGAAAAGAGGTGGAGGAAATTGGATCGTGAAACGAGAGGAAAGGGGGCGGGAGATTTAGAGGGGAAGGAAAACACTTGATCTTTAGTAAAAGTAGTGTCACAAATTCTCCAGGCACGCCTGTTTAAGCCGTGCGTGAAAAAAGCCACTTGGATTTTCTTTTCTTTTTTTTAAAGAATTATTTTCTTGTCCAGGCAGAAGAAGTAGAAGCGAAAGCATCTCGAGTTCATCCTTGCTGCTCTTCCTTCCCCCTCGCCAATGCCCAGTGTGAAGTTCGCAAACTTTGTTTTCTTTTAGAAATTAAAATTAAAACAAAAAACGGTTTATAAAATGAATCAGCTTGCCTATTTTCACTTGGCACAAGGAGGCATGCAAAAGCTCAAAGGTGCTGAATAAATAGCAGGGTTTGGGGTTGGTTTTTTTTTTTGGCAACAACGAAAAAAATTATACGGGGTGATTTCCTGACGGCTGAAAAAGAAAAGAAAGGAAGCGGGAAGCCAATTGAAGTGAAATCTAGGTGTGCGTTTCCACCTCGGGTGGCATGGAACCGGCACTACAAGCTAGGATGGGGTGTGTGTATGTGTGTGTGTGTGTGAGTGTGTGTGTGTGTGTGTGTGTTGCTTTGAAACGATCTCAGAGGGAAGTCTTGTCTTCCTTCGAGGTTCGCACTCTTGGCTCAGGCCGGACTCCGTAGCAGCGTCTCGACACGAGTCCTCCGGAAGCCTCAGGCCGGCGTTTCTCAGCTTGGGGGAATGCAATTCACAGGTTGAAGTTCAGTCAGTCCGAAGGATCATGGGAGGATGTTCGCTGTCGTCGTCGAGCCGCAGGGCGCCGATGTCGTCCTCCAGGCAGACGCCGCCGACCGCCCCCAGATCTTCGTTGTAGACTGAAAGGGAGACGGGAAAAAAGGGGACACCCCGTTCAGAAGGAAAACGTTCTTGTCAACTCATAAAATATTTCTATGGTCTTTTTAGAGTGGCCAACGGAAAGGGAGAGGGGAACAGTGCAGCAGCTTGGAAATTGAAAGTGCATTCCATAAATGTTTTCAAAGATAGTAACTAGGTGACTGAAGTTTCTGCTGAGCAAAAATTCTAACTGGAGAGCATGATTGATGACTCTTGGCTATGGATGTGTCCCACTGGAGAATATGAATTATGATACACCCAGGGGGTGGAGGGAAAACCAGGGTCAAGGTGAATGACAGTGAATGATGTGTCTCAGAGTTGGCTACACCCAGACAGTGCTGGACATGTTAACTCCCGATAAATCCTTTTGAAGTTTTGGAAGTTTGGCTCGAGACTTTATGATTTAATTGGGTTAAGTGCCGGAATCCTCACATCTAGCCGACTCTCCTAATTCCTCATTTCCGGGCCACCTGGCTCCCCGCCTCTTCAATCGCTTCCTGACATCTGGAATGCGTGGAGAGAAAGTCAGGTTGACATGGCAGGAAGGTGGACACGCCTCCTTCTCGGTTGTCCATGGAAGTTCTCCATCATCCAGGTCATGGTTGTTGTTGTCCCGAAGGGGGGCTTTTCCAAAAGGCAACTGGACATTCTTGAGTTTTTTGTTTTTTTTGTTTTCCACTTGGAAATTTTTCGCTTCTCAGCCAAGAAGCTTCTTCAAAACTAGGAGGAGAAGAACTGAAGTTTTTGGATGAAGGAGAACTGGAGAAGCTTCTTAAGACGAGAAGCGGAACGTTTTCAAGGAAAAACGAACGAACGAACAAGGAAGACCAGTTGTCTTTTGGGAGAGCAGCTTTGGGATCCTTCTTGTTCCAACTCTAGAAGGATTCATGACCCAAGATCTCTTGAGTTCCTAGGGAAGCCCTCCTTAAATCATCACTGGAAGTCCTACCCCCTTGGCTGCGACTCGCTGGAGAAGGCCAGCAGAACAGGAGAAGACAACAAGTGTCAACCTTGAAGCTGACCTGACCGAGGCCATTTTGAGGCCTCAGTGTTGCCACGCTGGAGCTGAGGGATAGGGAGGGGGGGAAGTAGAACTAGCTGGGGTTTGCAGCCAAAACAAAATACTTCCCCCTGGAAATGCATATTTAATGATACATGTGTTAACTTCAGCTAGAATTGTATTTGTACCAAATTGGAAAAGTGATGAGATTCCTACAAGATGAGAATGTGATTAAGAAAATATTAGAATGGGCAGAAATGAACAGATTAACTCTTGCTCTACAAGAGAAAGAACAAGCTATTTTATGGATGGTTGGAGAATAAAAACAGAAGTGAGAAATAAACGGAGATTAGTGAAATAAAGAATATGTGTTAAGATAGAGATGTAAACAATATGATGATGGTTAATATGATGATTAATATGATGATGGTTATTGTATCTAATATATTGTATTTTCATTAGAAGATATACTAAGTGGGAGAAATGAATAGTGTTATAATGCTGATTATTATTATTGTAAGATTACAGATTTATTATCAATGTAACAAATATTGTAAATTTTGATTGTAATAGCTCAGAGACATTTGTAGCCAGATGACACTGTTTAATGGAAGATGGTATGTTCAAGTTGAAAAAACAAAAATGTATATTAAAAAAATACTTTCTCCGGGGAACCAAGGACATTCCCATAGGTGGTCGGAGAGAGGAGGAGCAATGTTACCAGGCAACCAGACGACACCCTGATTGGACCACGCAACTAACTGTTTGGGGACGGGGGTAAACATTGAAAACTGCGGGAACATTCAGAGTCGGTTTTCACCAGCCTGTGCAATAGGATATTGTCCAATAAAACTGTTCTTTGAGGCATTTACCTGCCTTGGAGTTCTATTTGCTATGGGCATATTATTTGGAACCCCTGACAGCAAGCTCTTCCACCAAAGAGCAGGAGAGACCATCTCTTAAGTCACCAACCATGACCCATCAACCTAGAAATGGACAAGCGGTGAAAAGAGGACCCACAGAGTCCTGTTGTCTATTGTGTTGCCAAGGCAATGGTGATGCCATCGATGCTTCCCTGTTACTGTTGACGGACAAGGTGACCACCCTTCAGCCAAGGGGTCTATTAAGTTGTATGGACGGCATTCCCTCTGACGGGGATCCCTGCAAACCTCTTCATCTACAGTGGAAGGTTTTTGCGTAGCTCTTACCATGTCTTGTGGGCGAAGAAGGCATATAAGCAGCACCTCTGGTCACAGCGGCACTGTAGGTCTGTGCTACCAATGGTCTGTCGTGAGAGGCAGATTCTAGAATTTCATTGGCTGGCTCCATGCTGCCATCCAACCTGGGGAAAGAGACAAGGATGCCTCACCTGGCGTGCCCTGGTGGCCTCCACAGCACAGCTGGACATTCAGCAGGGAAACCACAACAATACTGGCAGGAAACCAGCTTTATGAGCCACAGGTGGCACAGTGGTGAGAGTGCAGTACTGCAGGCTACATCGGCTGACTGCCAGCTGCCTGCAATTGGGCAGTTCAAATCTCACCAGGCTCAAGGTTGACTCGGCCTTCCGTCTTTCCCAGGTGGGTAAAATGAGGACCCAGATTGTTGGGGGGCAAGAGGCTGACTCTGTAAATTGCTTAGAGAGGGCTGTAAAAGCACCATGAAGTGGAATATAAGTCTACTATTGCATGACACCAACCCTCATAAAAATTTTGTGCAAAGGACTCACTTGTGCTGTTTCATCAGTGTGCATTCACCCCCTTCCTGAGGGTCCAAATTGTACATGTAGAGATACCCATCGGCAGCTGCTACCAACAGTCGGGGAATTTTCTGAATTCTAGAAGGAATCAAAAGATTCATCAGCTGGCAAACTTTATGGGAAAGAAAGAAAAAAAATAACATGGACCACATTGTATAAGGAAAACCTATATAAAATGTTTTATAGGTGGCATCTTCCTCTAGCAAAACTGGCCAAAATGTATCAAAATATATCACCCAACTGATAGGAAATGTACCCAAGAATACGGATCTTATGGTGGAAATGTAGAAAAAACCAGGAGTTTTGGCATAGAATTCAGAGGTGGCTTGAGGCATAAAGTGGAATATAAACCAGAATTTTTCTTACTCGGAAAAGAGGTGATTTATTTAATAATACACCTGATCACGGCAGCAAGGTTAGGCTTTGCTCAAAAGTGGAAAGAGAAAGAAATTCCCGATGAAAGTGAAGTAATAAAAAAAGAAATGGACTTGCACTAAAGATGGACAGACTATTACAAAGTATGGGATAAATTCTATCAATGGTGGGGGAAAAGGAAGGATCCAGAATCAGAAGAAAGTAGGGTTGGCAGAACGGATGATTAGAAATGGAAAATATTGTATAAATGTACGAATGTATATAAAACATGTATTCTATGCCATAATACGTATGACAAACAGGATTGTAAGGACGGTCATACCACGTCCATTGTGTTTAATAATTTACTTAATCAAACTTTTTTGGGGAAAAAAACCAAGATTCATCAGCTGGCATTGGTCATGCAACATCTTGCAAGAAAACCACCAAGATCAGAGAGCACCAAAGTCTCCCCACAATTCATCAGCTTTTAAGGAAAGGTCTACCTATTCACAGGTCTTGAAGCAGAAAACAATCCTTCATCCCAAATTGTTCCTTCTATGGGGTCAACTCTGCTATTCACAACCGAAGGAAGTACAGACAGTTCAGGGAAGCAAATGAGTTTGATGCTGAATAGGAGTGAAACCTTTCAGAGGCATGAAAGTGGCCTCCACATTCTTTTACATCTGGGTGTGGAGGGGATCTGCAGGGCAGGAGGAGGAGGAAGAAGAGGAAGATGAGGAGGAGGAGGACTATGGGATCCATGGCGTTCTCTGAGCTTGGTTGTTTTCTTGAAGACATTTCATGACTCAACTAGGTAACATCATCAGTACTAGAAGGGAGGGGGGTTTGCAGAGAAGAATAAGAGGAAGAGGAGGAAGAGGAGGAGGAGAACGACTATGGGATCCATGGTGCTCTCTCAGCTTGGTTGTTTTCCTGAAGTTCATGACTCAACTAGGTAACATCATCAGTACTAGAAGGGAGGGGGGTTTGTGGGGAGGAGGAGGAGGAGGAGGAGGAGAAGGAGGAAGAAGAGGAGGAGGAGGGCGGCAATGACTGGGATCCATGACTGGGATCCATCTGAGCTTGGTTGTTTTTCTTGAAGACATTTCGTGACTCAACTAGGTAACATCATCAGTACTAGAAGGGAGGGGGGTTTGTGAGGAGGAGGAGGAGGAGGAGGAGGAGGAGGAGGAGGAGGAGGACAATGACTATGGGATCCATGGTGCTCTCTGAGCTTGGTGGTTTTCCTGAAGACATCTCATGAACCGACTATGTGATTATTAGCCGTGCTAGAAGGAAGGGGAGGGGTTTGAGGTTTGTGGAGAAGAGGAGTCGGAGGAGTCGGAGGAGTCGGAGTCTCAAAGCTTGCATGACTACGACCAACGCTGCCCAGGTGCAAACCTGGAATTCCCCCCAGGTGCCCCCTCAGCCTCCACCTCCCCTTAAGGACGCTGTGGGAGCCGAAGAGCCCTCCTGCCGTGCCGCTTACTCACGTGGCCAAGGCGCAGATGTTTCTGTGCCCACAGAAGGGGAGCCGGACAGTTGCAAAGGCTCGGCCTTGGTTGAACATTTCGGTCACCTGGGCAGGCAGGTAGTTTGGGAACGTCCGAATGGTCTCCACAAAGTACCCCGTCCAGGTTGTCGGTTCCTCCTGAGGTCTGGGAGGGAGGGAGGGAGGGAGGGAAGTGAGAGGGTCTTCAAAACCGCCCCTTTAAAAACGTGGCTGCCCACCCAAGAAGTTGGGGGTGGCTCTTCTTTTCAAAGAAGGGTTGTTGTTTTTTTTCTAAAGAGACGACAGGACTTAACTATTTTTTGTGCCGCTGCAGAAAAAAACCACAATCTGATCCCCCCCAAAAATCGCAGGCAGAGTTAGGACGGGACACGACCCCACGCCCCCCTATCCGCCTCCCCAACTTTTCTCCCTGCTGCTAAGGGGCCCGGCTGAGGAGGCCAGTCACCCCCTTCCCTTCAGTCGCCCTGGGTTTAAGCCAAGGGGGGGGGAGGGTCGCCCTGCCCTCCCCACACTCACTTCTCTTTCACAGTCTCCAGTTTGAAAATGTGCACCGTCTCTGTGTTACTGGAAGCCGACAGGAACATGCCGTCCATGCTGAAGGCCAATGAAGAGATGCTGACGCACCTGGGGGGGGAAGGAGGCAAAGAGACGGTGGGGCAACCACGGTAAAGAGGGAAAAGGAAGGAAGAGAATAGGAGGAGAGGTGAAAGGAGGGAGGGAAGAAGGAAGGGAGGGAGAGAATAGGAGGAGAGGCGAAAGGAGGGAGGAGGGGACGGAGGGAGAGAAGAAGAGGAGAGGGAGGAGAAAGGAGGGATGAAGGGAAGGGAGAGAGGAAGGGAGGGAGGAGGGAGAGAATAGGAGGAGAGGTGAAAGGAAAGAGGGAAGGAAAGAAGGAATAGGAGGGCAAGGGGAAAGGAGGGAGGGAGAGAAGAGAACAGGAGAGGGAGGAGAAAGGAGGGATGAAGGGATGGAGGGAAGGAAGGGACTGCTTTTGTTTGCTGAAACCCTTGGAAAGAGTCACACAGTTCACGCAGCCTTAAACCTGAGACCGCAATCCCACAATCACCTCTTCATGCCCCTTCGGAATTCGAAGAGCTTCTGCCCCTCTGGAATGGAAAACACCCGGATCACCGTGCCCTGCGGGAGAAAGGAGCCCACCTTTGGAAGCCGTCCAAAGGAGCCCGTCTTCTCGACGTGACTCCTCGCTTCCTCCGCCTGTCTGGTTCGCTCGAGAACCTCTCGGGATCCAACTCAAGTTCCTCCCCCCTCCCCACCCTTCCTCCCTTCCCCCTTCTTCCCAGAGAGGGGAGGGGGAGTCTCACCTTTTCCGAGGCGGTGGCTAGCTTCGTACCGCTCGCGTCAAATGCCAGGGCGGCCAGCGGACTATCGTGAGCGGGGATCATGTTGGTAGCCCTCTGCGGAGAAGCCCGAGAACGGAACGCGAGGCCTGAGTGCAGGGTGGAGGTTCCTGCCCTCCTGGCCACCCCCCCCCCCCCCCGAACAATCCCCAATTCCCGGAGTCAAGAGCCTGGCGGGATCTTACCAAGTTGATGGTGTCAAAGACTTGGACTTCGCCAATGGTCGCGCTCCCCGGATAGGCCAGGTAACAGTTATCATTGTTTATGGACAGGGAACACAATCCTAGAAAAACAGGAAACGGCACGATCGGACGCGCACTCCCTTTCGAAACCACGTTCAAAGAATCATGATTCATTACGATGATAATATTATGCACCCTTCACGGACTTTAAAATATTCATGGCTCATAAAATATTTCTCTGGTCTTTTTAGAGTTGCCAACAGAAAGAGAGGGGAGCTTGCAAAACCGAAAGCGCATTCCATAAATGTTTTCCAAGGTGACTGAATTTTCTGCCGTGCCAAATCCAGAGCCGGAGTCCCAGAAGCAGTTCGTGACTGTGTACAATCACGTTCTGGTAACTCCTGCGACGCAGCTACAACTAACTGTCGCGGCTCTGCCGTTCCATTAGAGTCTACTTCAGTGACATGGAGGGTGGGGGGGATCTGCTGTTTGGGTAACAGTCCCCCCCCTGCCCCCCATATTAAATTACCCAGGCCTTGAGCTCTGGAGAGCTTTGCATACAGCATTGAAACAAGACGGGAAGTGGCAGTTACCGTTTCATAGCACGATACCACAGTCTCTGGAGACTAAAGGATGCCAATAATAAATCAACTAGTTGAGTAGATACCTGTGCATGGGAGTTAGTAGGAATAAACCAGTTTAACTGCAACTTCCCATGTGGTCCTGGTCGTTCCTGCCTAATCTCCCTAACACCTCCCAGATGAACAAGCCCACCTTGCTCTTCTGGATGTCACCTGCTAAAACAAGGAGCGGAAAGGTATCAGCGTCAGAGGGGGGATCAAAGGAGAGGAAGGAGCATCTTTACCCGCAGGATTCGGGGGCGTCTCCCTGATGGTGTGCAACACCTTCATATCCCGAATGTTATGTATGTACAGAGACTCTTCTAGGCAGACAATCAATCTCTGGAGGAGGGAAATAAAAAAGAAGGAGAAAGAGAAGCAGATAGCAGTAGCACTATACAGGTAGTCCTTGTATTACGACCACAACTGTGCCCAAAATGTATGTTGCTAAGTGAGGAATTTGTTAAGGATCAAAACGGCTGGTAGTTGGCAGATTTAGCCTGCAATACTGCATTCTCACCACCATGCCGCCACCACCCCCACCACCAGCAGCTCACCTGAGTGGGCCCCTCCACTCACCTGCCTGTTCAGCTTGACGGCCAGGATCGTGTTGGAGTAGCTGTAGTTGCAGATCTCCGTCCCTTTCTTGAAGTGGCAGACTTTCAGCTTGCGAGGCGCCCGGAGGCTCACGATGGCTACCAGGCTGCTGGAAAAGAGCCGTTCCACGATGCACACGTCTTCGGTGTCATCTGGAAGGCGAGCGTGGAAAGGGAACGGGATGGCACGGAACAGAGACAGAAGAACCAACTGGGTTAACTGCAGGTGCAGGAGAGGAAAGAGCTCGTGGGACTCAACCCTCCACCCCTCCACCCCCCAAAGAACCTATCTGGGAGGTCTCTAGGTGGGGGCCTGGCTAGAACGTTGGGCGTCTAGAGTTCCTGTCACTTTAATAGGCAACCTGTGGGGCTCTCATTTCTTAACAGAATAACAAGAGTTGGAAGGGAGGCTTGGAGGTCTTCTAGTCCAGCCCCACTGCTTTAACAGGAGACCCTATACCACTTCAGACAAATGGTTGTCCAATTTCTTCTTAAAAACATCCAGTGCTAGAGCATTCACAACTTCTGGAGACAAGTTGTTCCACTGATTGATTGTTCTAACTGTCGGGAAATGTCTCCTTAGTTCTAGGTTGCTTCTCTCTCCTTGATTCGTTTTCCTTCATTGCTTCTTGTCCTGCCTTCTGGTGCTCTGGAGAACAAGCTGACCCCACTCTTCTTTGGGGCAGCCCCTGGAATATTGAAAGATTGTGTCACCCCTAGTCCTTCTTTTCACTTAGACTAGCCCTACCTAATTCCTGCAAAATATTCAGGGATACTTCCTTGCTAAGCAGAGAAAATAGGATGAGGCAGGCGGAAAAGTAAGGGGAATAACTTCCGACTTCCTGCCAGCTTTCCCACTGACTTTCCTTGTAGCAAACTGTACCGGGAATGTTGGAAATAACGATCACGGGACTGCGTCAGCACCGAAGCAGCTACAACTTTGCTAAGTTTCTATCCCACACTTTTCGTGATCTGGGACACATTCTTTAAAAGTTACCTCATCTGAAGCGCGTCGATTCAATCCCTGTTGCCCCACAAACCCACCCTTTGGAAGTTACAAGCGGACACGAGAGTTTCAGCAGTACGCAGATCATTTGAAAACAAGGGCAGAGGTACACGGGTCTAAGAGGCAGACCACTTCCAACTGAACCAGAACATGGAGGCAGTCAATTAAACTACTGCCAGCCAGAGACCGTCTCTCTCTCTCTCTCTCTCTCTCTTGTGGATCAATAGGTTGCCATTTCCAAGCACAAGTGCCTATAAATAGCCTGCCATATTTTAGCGAGAAGCGAGAAGCTGTTAAGTGGGTGAAGGCGAAAGAACAAGAGGAGGCAAAAGCCCTCCACTTGCTGGAGCTTTGAGAGCTGTAAATAAAAAAGCAAGTCAAAATTGGTGCCGCTAAACACATTTCAGGCTGCTAAGTGAGGCTTCCCGGGATGGAGCTATTAATATAAATCTTAACATATCAAATGGCATTGCAGGCGGTGTTGGCCAACTAGGAAAAAGGCCAGGAAGTTAGTATCGTTGTTAAGAGGTTCTGATTCATGAGTTCATCCGGCTGACAGATGCCACTCTGCTCTCTGAGATGGTCAGAGAAATTCAGGAAGTCCGAGATGAAGTGGGCGCTTCACGCGAATTGTACACATAGGATGTCAACTAAAAAATACCCCTTTGGTCTGTTTAGCTGCCAGCAGAAAAGGGAGTGGGGGAAAGCAGTGGTCCTTAAATGCCTCAGATAATCGCCTTGGCAGCCCAAAGCAGTTGGCACGCAACAATATTACTGGAGAGCATGATTGATGACTCTTGGCTACGGATGTGTCCCATTGGAGAATCCAGGGGGGTGGAGGGGGGAAGACCAGGATCAAGGGGGAAATGATGTATTTTAGTGTCGGCTGCAACCAGGAAACACCGACATGTCAACTCCTAATCAATCAATCTT